TTGAAGAAACTGTTGAAGGTTGGACTGCCCATTCCCTTTGTCAACCTTACACTTATATGTCTCAGGATAAAGGTGTAGGACCAGCTCCCTTACAGCAATAATACGTCAAGGTTCCATTCTCGCATGACACAATTTTCAATGGCGGCTTCTCAAACCCAAGACATACAAATACTTGTTCCACTTTACGCAGATCTGTAGTGTTCCACACTTATGTAGTGACAATACCTCAATATAAAGATGTAATCAAATGGTATGTTTAAAATCATGGAGATAAACATTATACAGAACATTAAGATCAGCCCGTGGAGATATCAACTTCATTTGAACGACCAGATCAAATACCTCCGTATAGTCTTCAACAGAGCACTATACTGTGCTGAATGCTATTCCTGACAGGATCAGAAAAACTCAATCTGGTCAATGCTCTATGCAGTAAATTCGGGCGTAAGGACACCAAAACATTACAGAGCAAAAATTTACTCTCTGCTCAGTCATGACTTATGACACAAGCTGATTGGAAAGAAGGATTCTGTGTAAAGGAAACCACAAAAGAAAATCCCCCTGAGAAATACCCCCACTATATAAGAGACTACATTCTCAGCCGAAATTCACCTTAAAAACCACTCTTGACCGAAAATCTCTAAAACATCCTTAAAATTTCCTGCTCATTTTTCTACAACATATTCGTTAGACACCTCAAAACGAAACACAGCATCTTCCCACCAAATGACTGACCTCTGTCAACAGTGAACTCCCAGATGAATACACTAATGTGGTGGAAACACTTTTTATTGTCGTTAATTCGATTTCATTTCATAATTATAGTTTCAGCACAATCTGGAAAGTTGCATTTTCCAACATTTGTCCTCTCTTCTTGACTCATCCTACCTCCTACGCAAGACACCAGACCAACCAACCACCGTTCCTAACCTTCTAATTGATTCAAAAGAAAAAACTATTGGTGATGTTGGTCTACTAGAACTAAATCTTACCGAAGATCAAGAAGTTCCCGAGAGTAGGTATGTCAACAATTGTCTGCTCTGTCACAAATCGCCGTCTATTTTATATTCTAAATAATATTTTGATGTATTTACATGGTAGGTCTAAATTCTGTAAATTGATCTCATTAACATATTTATATTCTCAAGAAAAAAATCTTTCTAGATTGTAACTGAAGTTGTCTAATTGGGAATTGGACAGTGATGAACTGTTCACGACTGAACTGGATCAAAGATCTGAATTTTTAAATTAACATAGTTATTGAAATTTTTATGCCTGAGACTCTTATCCGAATCACATGTGATACACAAGGGCTGGCACATTTTTTAGAAGAATAATCATTTTAAAGAAACTATTTGTGTGCCAACAATTTGTATGCCAAGTTATTCAGGTTCGCTGAGATCTATTTGACCAGAGAGCCAAATTACTGACCCGAGTTGTCTGTTACTGATCCAGAAAAGTTGCTTCGTCGTCACAAATTGGTCAATTCTGTTTGTAAACGTACCCAACCATCCAAAAATGGGTCTTACAGCTAAAAATGAGTTTTTTTATGAAAATTTGTCGATAGTGTTCAGAGCTCATTCAGTGAACATACATAGTTTTCTATGGTCGATTCTCTTCAGCTCCTAGGTCAGTTGCGATTGCAGCTCAAATCACGGTTCAAAATTCCCCTAATTGTGGTCTGTAAAAGGCAGATCCTTTCCACGCTTTCTTGTTTCATGTATCAACTTCCATCACTGATTTACTTTTGGTAATTTATATCATCATCTCTCTTCAATTTTATATAAGTGATCTCCATATATAAAAATGTTTGTCGCGTTTGTTTCTTTCTACATTTAAAATCCATAATTGCTTTCCACCAAAGACCTTTAATTATTAAAACTTCCATTGAAGATTTCCTAGTTTTTATTATTTAACTGATTGATGATTTGATTTGTCACCAAAGCCTTACAATCCTGTTGGGATTATGACTAATGCCTGGGCTTTTTAAAATCCTATTTTTGTGGTAAATGCTCTCTTTGTCATTCTGCTGTCGTGATTTTTTCAATTTTCTTCCTCTCTGCATTGTACTTGATAGTCATTGCTTTCTGGTCTTCGCCTAAGGCTTCCTTTATTTTTGACTGTTTAAGTCATCTCAAAATTTTTGAGTCATCTTTTTTTTGTTTAACTCATGTTCAATTTCAGCATTTATTTTCATTCTTCCTTATCCTTTTTTTGTTACATTATTCTCTTCAATCTTTTTAATGTAAGAAGACTACCACCTTCTTTTATTAAGTGTGTTATCGTTTCCGTTGCATATGTAATGATTATTATTATGTAATTTTATTTTTGTTTTTTTTATTGATGTCTTGATCCGCAGCAGATTCATATTCATACCGTATGTCTTTCATTTTTAAATTCTTGCATTTAGTCCATTCATTTTAATTTTTTGCTATTACCACTCCTAGATAACTAAATATAGATACTGCTTCATATGTATAGCTCTGTGCAATGAAGAATTTTTGTGTCACTGTATTTTGCCCGTCATATACCTCGTTTTATTTTCTATTCCTATATAAGTCCTATTCTTTTTTCTTTTAGTTTTTCTATTACTTTCTTAAGTCCCGTCTTTGTATTTGCTATGATGGTGAAATCATCTTCATATATTATTTAGTTTAATTAGATATGTGATAATATTTTTGGTTACGAGGTTTGTCTTCCTGTTGTGTTCCACACCTTTGCAACACCTGTAGCTAAATAATTTAAAAATCAGTTATTAGTTAATTTTAAATTGCATATATATTTTTTTAATATTGCCCTGTCTAATGCTCAACTATTAGTAGATTAATGGTTGTAGTTTCGCTTTAGGGCTACATTAAATTCAAAAATTTACCTTACGTAAAATTATTATTTTACGTAAAAATATTTTTGGGACAATGTTTTTGATTCTTCAATGATTCTATAATTTTTATATTTATGTTTATACATAAGCATTTTTAGCTGATGTTATCTCTTTGACCATCGTGGTAAAAGGAAACTTCCAGCTCTATTGGATTTGTATAAACGAGTACATATTTTAAATGTTTTATTTATCTTCAACGTTGAAAGAAATCCGAAAGTATCAAATACATATATGAAGTAAAAGTCTATGAAGATATTGGAAAAAGACGAACAAATGCAGAGACCGGAGAGCAGTACGGGAAACTAAAAAGTAGTCTGATCGTCAGGACAACCAGTTTTAGATGGTTAGGCCATCTTGCTAGAATGGCGGATAGAAGGGGGACAAATTGGGAATTGCTGTGTTTTAAATTAGTTTCAAAAGTTGCTTTGAAGCTTGTCTTCCGTATTTTAAGAGCTTATTTGATATTACGTCCTCTCAAGGCGATTTTCTTTTCTACAATTTTCTTACTGCTTCTGCTACTCTCTTTCTTCGATTTCGACACTATTGCTGGTGTACGTGATTTGTCTCCCTCTTCTTCTTCTTCGAATGTCTTCTATCGCATATCGGCCAAAATGTTGGCAAATGTTCCTTGGCTTAAGGCCTCAAAGCAAATCATTTAAACTCAAGCCTCTTCAACCTCATATATTTTTAAACCAGGAACACTGTCTGCGTCCATCTCCGAGTCTACCCCCGATCGCACCCTCTATTATGAGTGAAAGGAAGTGGTACTTATTAAAAAAAAAATGCTCTGGCTATGTCTAATCAGATTTCTGATTTGTAAATCAGGATTAATATGTTTTTATCAATCCAGCTGCTCAGGTTGGAAACTTAAATTATAATCGTTCCCGTAATGGTCTTAGCGTTTTGCTTTTAGCAAATAAGGATCGCATATAATCCCTTCATGTTTAATTCCGAATGCGCTTTTTTTATTAATTCCTTCATATCTTTTTGTTATCGTCTGATGTTTCTCTCCCTTTAATTTTTCGAAGTAAACGCGTGTTTGGTTTCAAATTCCTATGTGGCGGTTGTATGATCATTTTGTTTGTTGCGTTCTTTGTTGTAGAAAGGCTTTTTTCTTCAAATTTTATTTTTCACCAGGTTTCTTCAATGTTTATGAAACGTCACAAAACAAAGTTTATATGAGCAGCCTGTACAATAAAAATTCCACATATGGTAGAAGCTATAGGTCAAGAACAGAAATTTAGCGAAAATTTTGGCAATAATAAATATTAAGAATTTTTTTTTTGCCAAAGTAGGCCAAGACAACCTGATCATCAGGAAAGATGATCGCGACTCGTTTTCGGGATGCGAAAGCGATTCCAATGGCTACTTAAGTGTGCATATTACAATGGCTACTTAAAGTATGCCATTAAACCTCCCTCCCGCTCACAAGACGGACGTTTCACAGGTAAAATTACACCAGTTAGTATACGAATTGATCGACCACCTGCCGTTCAGCAGATCACCTGCCGTTCGGCAGATTTAGTTCCAATGATTAAAAAGATTGTTCGGAGGAAACTGTTTTGCAAAGAACAATTAGGTCAGAGCTGAAATTTTACATTATTTTAAGGATTTCAAGTCACGTTACTTTTTGAAAGGGATAAAAAGTTGAAAAAAAGCATCTTATCTAGAACTAAAAGGGCCCTAATTTGGAAAATAAATGACAAAAATCGTGCGTTTTCTAGGCTAGGTTACTGTCGAGCCACTTACAACAGTCTGATTAAAAGAATTTGGGTTGAATGTAAAATTGTAGATTTAAACAACTCCTTAGTTATTCGGAAAACTACAATACTGGCACAGAATGAGGCCAGGAAAGGTCTATTATTGAAAATAAGACGGAGGGAGACTAGGAAACATAGAGATTTGCTTATTTTATAGAATTCCAATTGAATAATCTTTTATTTTTTTACTATTTGACATCTTAACGGGAATATACACGATATATGTTCAGTTAGAAGCCAGACAGTTGTTTTTTGTATATAATCTTTGAAGGTATTTTGTAATTTAGATAAAAAACATTGCTTGGTTATATGTTGTCCACTCTTATTGTTCAAAAGTAAAATTTCATTTTGTTTCTCAGGAGTCACCAGTATCGGTGGTCCAGGAGGCCCTGGCGGCGGCGGCCCCGGCCAAGGCGGCCGCAACTCCATCGAAATCATGATTCCCGGACCAAAAGTAGGACTTATCATCGGCAAGGGAGGCGAGACTATCAAACAGCTGCAAGAAAAAAGTGGCGCAAAGATGGTCGTAATTCAAGATGGTCCTAATCAAGAACACGAGAAGCCCCTAGTAATCAGTGGCGAACCTCAAAAGGTAGAACATGCCAAACAGCTAGTATATGACTTAATAGCTGAAAAGGAGATGAAAAGTTTCAACAGAGGCGGCCCCAGAGGACGTCAAAACCAGGGACCAAACGATGGAGGTTACAATGATTATGGCGGTGGAGGCGGTGGCGAACAGATGGAAGTAAGTCTTTGTGATGTTTTGAGTATTTTATTGTATATTTTACACAGTCCTACCTAATGCTCAATTATTGTTTAATAATAATTGTAGTTTCGCTTTGGGGCTAAATCAATTTCAAAAATTTTACCTTACATAAAACGATTCAGTTTTAAGTAAAAATATTTTTGAGACAACTTTTGTAGACAATTCCTACTTTTTAGAGGTTTTGAAACTGTTTTCTTGTGGTATGTAATTTAAATATTGTATTTCTCTTATATTCAGTGTACATATTTTATAATTACAAGATCTATAGCATATTTCACTGTTGCAAATTTCATCTGTTTAAGGCACTTCTCAATATCTTGTTTTGTTCCATGTGTAACAATTGACAGTTGTACAACTTTAATGAAGTAGATCACAATCCTGTCATATTGAAGTATTTTCTAACTGACGTGTTGAAAGTCAAAAACAAGTCTCTTTTGTAGACTACAGTAAGCAAGTCCTCCAGTTGAAATAAAAGCTTGGCAAACTTGTTCTAGTAACATTTGTCAAACTTATAAAAATTCTTGAGCTGGTAGAATTTAACAATGAGCAATAATGAAGGCCCGATTTTTCCTGGCTTATTTTTATTTACTCAGACTATTTTGCAAATAAAAGATAAAAAATGCATTTATCATTCTTTACATTGTCAACAGCTGTGGCATCAGAGTTTCAACGAAAAGGTTTCATTCACAGTTCAGTCACAATTCACAGACCTTCATTCAGGTCACATTACACATAAGTACAGTTACATTTATGATTTGCTTTAATCAACAATTACAACAGTTTTATTTTTTGAAGTCTTTTATAGAAAATTTTCACTTTTGCTTTTCATCACAAATGTTTTGTCAGCCTTTTCAATCTTTTGATCAAGAAGTAAAAAAAATGAATGTTACATCGCACTGTTTCATCACTGTTACAAGAACGCCTGTCATATTTTCCTAAATATGGAAGACAATATAGGAGTTACCTGTGATTCTGCATGTACAGCTAACGAGAAATTTGTTCCAAACTCCTTCGCCATAAATTGGGTAAATCTACATCTAGGCCTTGTGGGAAACAGCTGTTCATTGACAGCAATATTTTCATTTAAAATATAACAACATTGACAATTGAAGATTTCAAATTTCTGAAACAAGAGCAAAGTCGATATGCAATCTTTCTTGCTACGTTGATCAAATGCCAAAACATATAAATCTCATGAAGAAACATTTGCTGTAGGGCTTTGTTTTTGGAAAAATTGTTAGTTTGCATTTGGTTGACCATAAGCTGTTCAAAAGTTCCTTTGTGCTAAAATTATACAGGCATGGAACCATTTCAAGATGTAAGTTCTGTTAGAAAAATCTTGCCTTCCTCAATTTGTAACTTTGAAGTTTAGAATTGTTTTCGTCAATGAATAATGAATAACTAAAAACATTTGAAACAAGTTAGACAATAATTTTCGTTTTCGCATGAAATATTGGCCCAGGACGGCATTTTAGAATGTTTAGTTTATCCATATATATGTATGTTCAGCTTACAGCCCAAACAGTACAATCAACAGCCTTTTCTGTATTTATGCTAGATTTTTAAACATTTTGGAGATGTTCATAATCGTGAACTGCAAAGTTATCAATGTTATCATCACTGGAGTTATCTGAGGGTGGATGAAAATTATCATCTTTGTCGAAGTCAGAGAATTCCATTCCTGTTAGACACGGCGGCATATGTAGCACAAAGAAAAGTTTGGAAAATCATTAAATTTAGAAAAAAATTAGAAACACAACAAGAGTGATGATTATGACAAAATCAGGAATAGCCTATGTAAATTAATATTCAGAAAATCTCCAGGATTCAATGGCATAATAAATGAACCCCCAAAATAAAATGGATAAACGGTAATGAAATGATAGAGGTACTTTTATCAGGAAATTTTAAATAGCAAGCATCTATTAGACCAGTTAATAACCAGCATGGCAATACCAATACACAAAAAGTAAAAATCCTACCAATTAGCCTAAAATCATCTAGCTTGATATAAATTTTTAAACTGCCAATAAGATTCATGAAAGATACATAATTAGTGAATACCACAGCTTTCAATAAAATAGATTAACTGTAGGTGCCATATTCACAGCCATAGTGAGAAAGCATTGAGATGTTTAATGAAATTTAAAAGGCTGGAGAATAACTTGGACCAAATGGTATAAATATATTCAAAACAGCAGCTGATACATACAATATGCAAATATCAACACAGCCAAAACATTAAACAGAAATCAAATAACCAAGTAGGAGATCTGATGTGAAGAAGAAGAGGACTCAGTCTCTGATCCAGCTCCTCTAAATAATCCAAAGCCTGTTGCTGACAGTCACTTTTCTGAGCCACTGAGGCAGTTCACATTTTTCAAAACAAGACTTCCAACTACCACTAAAGATGTGGGGCCAATACTGCACAACTCTGTCAAAACTATAGGCTGAAAACAAATCTAGGAAATAATACTAGAACAATAAAGAAAGTTGATGTGCATAAAACTTAATCTGTAAAAAATGTGTTCTGATAGAAAAATAGTTTTCTGGATTGCGTCAACTTGCTCATTCCTTTGAAGGACTTACTTTTCATATTACCTCCGATAACCATTGTGATCATGCATTACAATTTACAACAATTTCTATTTTTTGTATTCCAGGTCTTAGTACCACGTCCGGCTGTTGGGGTTGTAATAGGAAAAGGTGGAGACATGATAAAGAAAATCCAGGCTGAAACAGGTGCAAAAGTACAGTTCCAACAGGCTCGCGATGAAGGCCCCGGCGACAGAAGGTGTTACTTATCAGGAAATCCTAAACAAGTTGAAATGGTAAGTCATTAAATTATATGAATTCTATAATTCTTTTCACGACCTTTTTTGCCCTACTTCTTCCTAATGTGGTTTAGATATTTATACAAAATATCGAGAAAAATTCTATATGTGATTATTTCTCAAAGAAAACCAATATGTGGCATTATCCAAATAAGTCATATATTCAGAAAGCATATTTATGCACAGATATTTAATTGATTGGCTGTAACCACACTTAGTCCCTAATCAATTGAATCATGGAACTTCCATAATTGAACGATATCTTATTGCTATCTAATCGTGAAATGTCGAAAGACATACAAATCATCGAAAAATGATTTTTACTTAATCTTTTTTTAACAATTAAAAATTTTCTCATTTACAATGTGTTATAATGTATTCCGGAAAAAGTTATAAATATAAGTAGGTATTTGGTTATTTAAACAATTACAGTGGAACCTCGATTATCCGTCAGGGCACGGGACCAAGGGTATGACGGATAATTGAAAAGATGTTTAACAGAACATTAAAAAAAATTCATAGTATAACTCTAAAATTTTATTTGTATGTTTTTTGACAATATAAGAGGGATTTATGTTAGTACAGTCGAATCAATTTGATTTAAAATATTCCGAAATCTTTATTTGTTTTATTGCTACTTCACATTTTGCAATGGTCTTAATCGACATAAAATCATCAAATCTACTTTATTTGCTTCTTCTTGCCGAGAATACCACTTGATGAATTGTTGTATGTGCGATGCAATTTCTCTAGCTTCTTTACGAAAATATTTGTGAGTTGCAATAACATCATCAACATCGCCACCATCAAAGTCTCTGTCAGCTTCTGAATCAGTTTCGTCCGCCTCTGTTGCCATTTCAACATTTCATCATTTTTTTTTCATTGTCTATGTTTCATCCGGCCATCGAACGATTCCATTTGCGAATCATAGAATTCCATCAGCATTTCTCTTTAAACCTCACACTTTTTGCTCAATGCGACGAAGTGACACAATCAATGTTCGAATTTGAATCAAATTGAATTATGTTGACACACAGATATTGACTGTAATAATTATTGTTCGCTCTGCAATTTTATTTTCGACTTGGCGATTCTAAAAATGAAACTCTAAAAGCACGGTATCATTTATCATTACCTATTTTAATTGTAATTGAATCCAGAGCCCTGAATAATAACAATAATGCGGTAGTGGCATAAGTTCACCTGCACTTTTCAACGAATTTCGTTTGGCTCATCGCAATGGTCAAACAAAATGAAATGATGACTAAATTTTTACTTATGTTGTCAATATAACTTATGAATGGACCCTGACGGTTAATAGAGAGACGGATAATCGAGGTTCCACTGTAAAATAATTTAAATATGCCAAAATATTCTGAAAAAGACAAACAAACTGGATATAAGGGCGCTGAACTATTTTGAGACTGAAAAAGAAGCTGGACAAAGTTTGTGATTTGTTGTAGCTTTTCATGTAGCGAGTTCCCAGCATAACTGGTTTTAAGGCGCGATAGTTTTCAAATTATTACTGATAACTATGAGTATTATATCATCAGTAGACCATAGAAAAATCAATAGGGATGTTAAAATAATAGTAAGACTGCGTTTGTCCATCTCTCACACGACTTCACACCTTTTAATCTCTCATTTTCCCCAGCGTGTGATATTGTTAAGGCCTTTCTTTTTTAGGCATATGAAATATGTGCCCCAGCCATTTTATTATTTTAATTAGCCATTCAGCTATTCTTTTTTTCTAAACTTACTTTTTCTTCTTTGATTATATCAGATCACAATCTACCTTATCCTGTGCATTTATTATTTTCTAGTTCTTTTATTACTTCTCTATTATCCTCTTCTGTTGGGTCTTGTACTACTTGTTTTTTCCCTATATTTATTGTCTTTCTGTTTTTATTTTTTCGATTTCGTTTTATGTCTTTGTAATATTTTGATCATCTGTTTAGTCCCATCTTCTATTGCCCCCTAAAGTAATCATAACTATATACAGTAGAGCGTCGATTATCCGAACGTCGATCAACCGAACGACCGGTTGTCCGAACTTGTCTCGTTAACAGTAGATTGAAAATGAATTAACGTTAACGTTTCGTCTTTTCTACGAAGGAAAATTGTGGGATTAATAAACGGTTAGAGAAAGGTGAATCTGCAACCAAGTTATTCAATGAATACAAAGTTGATAAGCTGGTAAGACGGTTATATGTCCCAGCTTGATTGTTCTCACAGATCCAAAAGTCGTAAAACGATAAACCTTGTCTTAAATATGGATTTAGATGGTGCTGTGTATAAGTTACTCAAAAGGGATCCCGGGGAGAACATATTTCTGGTCCGATTCTATATGAAAAGCAGTTAAATTCAACGAAAAACTCTGAGTACCGTCAAATGTTCAAGCAAGCAAGCAAATCGAAATATGGCATTCATGAGCTTGAAATACAAGGAGAAAAACTGTGCTGATTTATTAGTCATTAACTTAAGTTTATATAATAAAGATAAAAGGTGAGCGTTGAATTGCATAGATATTGCCTTACGTTGGTTTGAAACACAAGATGATAGTATCAAGTATTTGTCCTTCAAAAAACACGTGACCTATACACTCATAACGATCTAGCATTAGTAATTAAGGATTAAAAAATCTTCAATTTTCGTCAGATTTTTGTCTTCAATTTTCTAGAATATGTTTTGTTGAAAGACTGCACTTTTTTAAATTCTTATTTGTCATTAAATATATAAATACGTATGTAGGTATGTAAATATGGCTTTCATTAATCTGCGTATAAATATTTGTGACTATTTCAATACACTTCGATTATCCGAAAAACCGATTTTCCGAACACCTATGTTCCCCAATTAGTTCAGATAATCAACGCTCTAATGTAACCATTTAGAGATTTTTTTTGCTTATTAAGTTTTCATTTATTCTTTCTAGCTGTTTTTAATTTTCTCTTTTTATCTACATTTGTTTCCTACCCTTGATTGATTGTGATCGTTCATGATAACAGAGATCAAATCCAGAATTGAAAAAGCATGGTCCAGTTTCGTCAAGATAAATAAAGCACATTTACAAAAGCAAACATATTGTTAAAATGTTACAAATACTGAAAAATGTATTTATATCGACAAATTCTCTGAATATCCTGGACAAATCAATACTAACGGGGATCATTACAGCGAAGAAGAGATAGCTGGAATACCTTGGTCATTTGATGAGAGAACAAGTACCGCCTCCAGCAACTTGCCCTTCAAGGAAAGTTGATCAGCAAAAGAGGTTCAAAGAGAAAAATAATCTGATGGATGTAAAACCTACGCAATTTGTTTGGACTTACATCTACAGAGCTTTTTAAACTAGTCAAATTTCAAGAGAACAGAGAAGGTAGAAAGATGGAAGGAATATATAGAAGAATTATATTCCAGCAACATTATATCGCATGGAGAGGTTAAAGTAGAGGAGAGTCCTCATGTCTCAAAAGCAGCAGTAGCTCTAGCTAGAGCCATCTAAAGAATAAAAATTAATAAAACTCTAGGCCCTGATAAAATGCATGGAGAAATCCTCAAATTGTTAATGAATGACTACTTCGAACCTATACAAAACCTGTTCCAAACATCATTTGCCAGACAGGAAAGTTTCCCGATGATTGGCGTCTATATTCATACCACTACCAAAGAAAATATCTCCCAAAAAGTGTGAAGGCTACAGAACTATAAGTTTGATTAGCCATATGTTGAAGATCTTTTATAAATGATACATGATAGAATATAACCAGTCCATGAACAGCAGCTGACCGAGTTTGTTTATATTTAAAAAAATGGACTTTGAACCAGGGGAGCACTGTTGGTATTATAGTATTAAAAATCTTTCGATACAGTAACCCACAGTAAACTAATTGATAATTTCCGGAAAACCAGGAAAAACAAGATAATAATCTGAGGATCATAGGAAATTTATATAGACATAAGAGATCTTTAAAGTTGATTTATATTTAATATCCTGAGAACAGTTCTACATGGTTGTGTTTTGTCATCTTTATTGTTCAATATTTACTATACCTATTTAGAGAAGAGTTGGAAAATACTGTTATTCTTGCTGATAGCGCAGAATGCCTTCAAACTCCTAATCTAATCGAAATGAGCAGCAAAGATTTCAGAATGAGTTAATGTCGATAAAATGAAAACGATGAAAATTAGCAAAAACCCTAATGTAAACTACCATTTCTTTGGAAACGATAAACCATTAGAAAGAGTTCAAAATCGCCTTTCTGACAGTTTTTAAAAATACAGTGAAACCTTTTAATTAACAACGAACGTCGTTAACAATATAATATGTGGATCATACACATGACATCGTATGTGTAATTCACTTGTCACTGAATTAGCATTTATGAAAAATATTAGTAAGATATTAAAAAAAAATAGTACATTTACTTTGATTACAACGATATGAATTTTATATTAAATTTATTTGTATTGAGATATAGTTTTTATCTTTTCAAAGATCATTAATAATCTAAAAAATTGGATCAGTTGATACATTAAGTTAATATTTTCTGAAGTAAACAAAAAATTTAGTGGCCAAGACCTGAAAGGTATTAGTTTCCTTGTAAGTCATTAATTTTAATATGTTCATAACTTCTTTATGTAGATTTGCTGCTTACGACCATTAAACTATTCCTTTAATAGTTACAGAATATTAAAGGAAATCTATTTTTTCTCATAAGTGATAATCAATATTTGGTAGAAAAGGTTTTAGTTTGGTTTGTGATTTGAAGCCTGTAGGTAACAATTTTTTCTATTCCACGTATTGTTCTATTATATTATGTATTCTTCTTTAAAAACGTATTTTTGAATTTTATTCAGTAATTTGAGTTATCGTCATTTTTTGACATTGGTTATCAATATTTAACATCATTTTTCTAATTTTTCCTTAAATTTTTTACACAAAAAAAAAACGGTAATATTTGCGGGTCTCTCTTGAAAGAATCTACGTGGCATGATGAGATGCGAACCTCGTTTCATGACATGGATGAATCATGTCCACTAAACACGGAAGCTTATTGTCCTGTAGCAATAACAAATTAAAGTAATAACAGTAAATAAACAAAAAACTTAAGTAAATGTTCAAAATGTCCACCATTTCATTCGGTTTCACGCAAAATTTCGGACCAATGCTTTTTAAATGCATCATGATTTTCGAATCCTAAGAAAACTAATAAGTATTTTTGAAAAATTTAAACGCAGAATGAAAGAATACATTATTACTGAGGGCCGAAAGTCCCTGAAAACTTATATAATGTTCATTTTAATAAGTTACAGGGGTGAACAAAAAAAAAAAAAAAGAGAAAATTTAGTGTGAATTTTAATTTGAAATATCTCATTAAAAAACCTTTTGTTTATTATAAGGGACTTTCGGCCCTCGGTAATAATGTAATATTTCATTCTGCGTTTAAATGTTTCAAAAATATTTGTTAGTTTTCTCAGGATTCGGAAAAAATGAATGCATTTAAAAAATATTTGTCGGAAATTTTGCGCCTACGCTCTTTATATCAAATAACCCTTGTCTATTTTTATATTTTTAATCTTCACGGCTTCTTCTATTTTCTGTCGCAATTCTAAAAGAGAATTCATTCTATTTTTGTAAACTAATGGAAAGAAGTCCTAATCAGGACTTAATATTCCCGTAGGGAAAGTATTCCCGTATCATTTGCGTACAATTGTCTAAAATATTTAATTAAAATTATTATTTTGTTTAATATTAGACTTACGTTATTTCATAAAATTTATATTATTAATAATAACAAATATTTTTGGTTATTTAATCAATACAATTCTAAGATTCCCCAATTCCATTTTTCTGATTAGTATACCATGTTGGCGCCTATGAAAGATCGAGCAGTTCTGTATGGGTTTCGTATTATTAGCTGTATTTTAAATATAAGTGACGTCACTTTATATAAATTGTCCCGTGCAACGTTTTTACTTTGGAAAATGGTATATTTGATATGCACCTTGTACAATTAGTGGATCAAGTTACATTTATGAGTCACCCTCCCCAATTTCTTATCGAATTATAGCCTAAAAATTATATTTTTACTTAATTGTCCTACCTAATGCTCAATTATTTTTTTAATAATAATTGTAGTTTCGCTTTGGGACTAAACCAAATTCAAAAATTTTACCTTACATCAAACGAATCTGTTTTTATGTAAAAATATTTTTGATACATAATTTTTATGGTAGAAAATTTTAATGTGCCTTATATGTAATAATTAGAATTAAATAAAAATAATAGAACGTATGTAATGTGTCATTCGTTGACCAAAGTTTTTATTATTTAATGTTTAGAAGAGTGGAACCCATTAAACCAATACCATATTCTTTTAAATTTGTGCTGCTTTTATTCTACTAATTCAACAATTTTTCGTTTTCAGGCCCGTCAGAGGATAGACGAACTCATAGACAGTGTGCTACAGCGTGACGGCGACGGTGGTATGGGTGCTCCTATGGGTGGCGGTATGCGCGGAGGCCGTGGCGGCGGTCGCGGTGGACGAGGTGGCCATCACGGTGGACGTGGTGGTGGCCAAGGCGGTTTCGATAGGGGCGATCGAAACGGCGGTGGTGGGGACTTCGGTGGTGGTAATCAGTGGGAAGATAGAAGAGGCGGTGGGCCAGGCGGACTTCAAGGTGGCGGTCAACAGGACGTTGTTTCGTTTACAGTGCCGGCTAATAAATGTGGAGTTATTATTGGTAGAGGTAAGTTTTTTTATTTATCCAGTTTATTAATGATTTATTTGCTGGTAAAAAGTAAAACGAGTACGTGTTTATGTAAGTCGTCATTAAGCAAAGTGAGGAAATGACTTTCGTATTTGAAAAGTAGAAATCTTATAAATAATAAATAGTTTTATGTTCTAATTTATGAATATAAGCAGAAAGCAGTTAACACGTTGTTGGACGTGAGTTATGTTGAAGGGTTCAAAATTGGTCACATGTTTTTGCCAAAATTAAAAGTAACTTGAAAATAATAATAAGCTACTGTCTTCCTACTTATATACTTGCCACGATGATCACTTTATTTTAATATCGCTTCTCTACTAATATTTTTCTTTCTTTCTTTTGATTATTTCTTTCGATTATGCAAAAAAACTATGAATTTAGAAAGTCCAGTTCGATTGTGATCATTGTGTTCGTTAAGACTTACGGAACATTGTATGTTGCACGAGGCGTGGCTTTGAGGGTTCTGCTTATTTTCTTATTGAATCATATAATAAACTTGAGGTTTATGAGGTTATAAATCACTTCTACATGCTTTGCGAGCCCCACTATCATTTATAAAATGACGACTCGCAGTCATGCACGAGTATGTGTGATGGCTATTACAGGTTTGTCCAGCAACAGGTTACGTTTGTGATATGTGCTTCAATTCTTACTTATTGTTCTGAAGCTATTTTCTTGTGGCATTTTAAATTAATTACTGTTTAACTGGGAATAAGCCACAATTAAAGATAAAAATATGTTTATTGTCGTTTCAATTTCCACTTCGGAAATCGTTCTCAAAATACAAACTGTTTGTATTTTAAGAACGATTTCCGAAGTGGAAATTGAAACGTCAATAAACGTATTTTTATCTTTAATTGTGGCTTATTCCCAGTTAAATAGTAATCAATTCTTACTGTTCAAATATCTTACAGAATAGTGAAGGAGACAAAGATCATAACTCCTGGGAGTCCAATAATTAATAGAGCCTCTTTGAGGAATAATTTGTTTATTTCAGCAATTGATAATTAGAAGTATGACAAGGTCTTCCTGGAACCATGCTCGTGAGTTGTTCTTGATAGTTTTGCAACACTTGGACACAAAATATGTTAAAATCTGGCAGTCAAGTTTAATATTCATTTTGAGTGTGGATCCACTTTCGATGTCCCTACTTTGAGCTTTGGACTATGAAGTATTACCCGATGTTTATACTTCCCTCCTCACGAAAGTGACAATTCTGTCACAACAGAGTTTGTCTTTGTCTGTAACAAAGTTTGTTAAGATGACCATTCATGTTATAAGTTTTGGTACCTTTGTAACATTTCCTTTGCAAATCCTGATTGATTAAAATACTCAGCATTTTTCATTTCTTGAACCAATAGGATTTTATAAGATCTTATATTTAAGTTTCTCTTTAGTATTAATTTGAGTCAATTTTTTGATAAAGTCAGTAATGCGTTTAACTTCATACTCTCGTTGCTTTTTTCAACACTTTGCATGTGTCTTAAATTATATGAACAAATGTCAACATATTCTATAAATATCCACTATTTTATACATAAAATCCCAATTTTATACTGCAAAGACTGTATAGGCACTTTAACATATCAATTTATTGTGTTTAAAATCTTTGCTACATAAAAAGACTTTAAGATTCACTATCTGAATACCTATATGTGTACCAGATAGCCTATAAAAGAGTCAACATTATTTGAAAGAACCGAATTTCTTACAAAGATAAATATATTGAAACATTAACTATTTTCTTTTGGTATTTGAATATTTTCTATTATATTTAATGGAAATGACTACAATTTTAATTGAAAATATGTTTTATTTCACATTTCGTTTCCCAGTTCACAATTTTTAGAGTTGGAAATCAAAACGTTAAATGTTTTCAATTAAAATTATGACATTACACACAAATATTTTTAATTTTACTGACAACCAACCATTCATTGATACTTTTTTGACTTTGATGTTTTAATCATGCATTTTTCTTTCAAAATATTTCTGTATCTACTCAATCTGCTAAATTCCTCTGCAGACCCTCAACTTGATTTACTTGTTTCCAAGTTAAATTTCCATAACTGAATAATTCTGTCTTGCTGGAAGATTATCTCCTAATATTGAGTTAGCTGAGCTTAATTTTAGTTCTTAAACGGTTTTCTCGGGTATTGAAACCAAGAAATTTTTCTTCTCCCTGGTCATTTTTTCCATAAACTTTGTCATTTTAACGACATAAACGAAGTTTATGTGTCATCAATTCTTGTGTCGTCAATTGACGACACAGTGACTGAAAGGGTTAAAGTGTATTTGAACAATTTTAAAACATTATATTTTGATATAGAATAAAAAACAATTGCTTAAGTACAAAACCTTGTAACATGCCAATTGTTACAGTTTTATTGCCACTCATAGTTTATTCCCGTTTTTACCATTTGTTTTCTGTATCTCAGGTAACTATATTTCCTCCATATTATTACTGAATGGTCGATATCTAGTATGTGGTGCACAAAATTAATTATAGATTATAAATTGTATGATTAAAAGTCACCAAATAATAAAATAATCTATTTCAGGCGGTGAAACAATAAAACAAATCAATCAACAATCTGGTGCATATTGTGAGTTAGATAGGCGAGCTCAAAATCAGAATCCTACCGCGAACGAAAAAGTATTTAATATCAAAGGCGATCCTGATTCGATTGAAACGGCAAAACGAATCATCCAAGAAAAAGTACAAATGCCTTTAACTTTCGTATCACAAAGCGGCGGCGGTGGCGGCGGACCACCGATGAACACCAGCATGCCAACCGTAAGTATACATTTTATTTAAACATTTCCGTTTTCGGTTGTATAAGTTGTCCTACCTAATGCTCAATTATTATTTGGTAATAGTTGTAGTTTCGCTTTAGGACTACAGAAACATCAAAAATTTTACCTTACATTAAACGAATCTTGTTTTATGTAAAAATATTTTTGAAACACATTATTTAGGAAGTATAATTTCATTGTTTTTAATATTCTTATTATTTGTTGCTTCCTAGGGTGCCGTGTACCTAGGGAACGTCAGCGACTACAATGCTTATAATCTTATATTAATCCCAGTTTTGGCTAGGCATAGCAACTTGGTTTGCTGTTACACCTGTCCACTATTGCAAATTTCTCAACCAGAAGACTTGGGCCTATTCATTTATTTTCTGTAATTTCAGAATATAATAATATATTAGCACTTCGAGCCAAGCAGTTTCATGGCTTGGTTTACAATGTTCCTCCATTTTTTTTTGTTTGTTCTTCGTGTTTCTTCTCCGTGTTTGTTCTTCGCTTTTTCTCTCTTTCATTTTTACTGTTTAGAATTAGCCGAAGGAACTCATATCTTGGTCCTCGAACATCTTCATTTCTGGTTCTGCTGGTCCATTGTATTTTGACCATTCTTTGATATAACCACATTTCCAATGCCTCAATTTTATTCATGGTATCGATGTTCAAATTCCAAGTTTCACACCCTTACAAAAGAACAGCCCATACATAGCACCTTGCAAACTTTTCACAGATTTCCAAATTCTTCTAGGTATTAATCACTAATTTAAGCAAGAACAAGAACATTCAGTATTTTAAATCATTTTCTTTCCACGCGCCGAGTTATTACCAGTTTATTTTTAAGTAGTTTGAGTACAGTGTTGTTTCATTGGGAACATATATGCAGAATATGCTGAAATGACAATATCTAAATCAGCAGACAAAAGTAATAATTTCTAAAGCTTTTAAGTTCACAAACGTTTATTTATAATTTACAAATAAATAACATTTCAAATAATCAAGTTTTTACTTACTGGGGTATATTTATCACATTTCTAATAATTAAGTTCTCATTAGAATGAAATTTTGCTAGTAAATTATTAATTTTATGCGAATCATTATTTATTAGCGATGTCTTCTATAATCTGATATTTACAAAATTATTAAATATTAAGCAGAAGCGTTTAACAATTAATATATAAATATATTATGAAGTTAAAACTTCATTATCGTTATCTAGAACATAAAATAGATAACTAGCCATCGTTTTCTAAATGTTATTGTCGTGGCTTTTCATTATCTTGTACTATATACCAGATTTGATTTTAGGCATACCCAGGCATGGCACCACAGAATTACAATCCTCAGAATAGTTGGGGAATGCAAGGCGGTGGTGGTGGAGGAGTTGGAGGTGCTGGTGGTTATCAACAGCAGCAACAGTGGGGAGGTCAACCACAAGGTGCTGATTCACAATCAGGTCAACCCAACAAAGTACAAGTAAACCCATCGACCGGCCAACCAGATTATTCCATGCAGTGGGCAGAGTATTATAGATCTTTAGGTATGCACAGAGAAGCAGAAATGATCGAACAACAGGCGAAGGCTAAAGCTACCGGAGGTTCGATGCAAACGGCTCCTGCTCCAGCCCAACCAGCTGCGCCCACCCAAAATGCTACTCCCTCATCTCAGGCTGATTATAGTGCCCAATGGGCCGAATATTACAGAAGTATGGGTAAACATAAGGAAGCTGAAGCCATTGAAGCACAGATGAAAAATAAAGTAAGTTTCCGCTTTGTTAGTTGTTATTATTTTTAAATAACGTACGTTTTTAGGGGCCAATGCCAGGAGCGGCAGGTGGAGCAGCGACTGGACAAGCACCAGCTGCACCAGGAACTCAACCTGGTGGATACTCCCAAGCCCAAGCACCTTATGGTGGTTACCAACCTCAAGCTGCAGCTGGTGGTAAGTTTTTTAATTAAATAAAGTGATATTTTTGTGACTTGTGAACATAACAGAACTTCATAACAGTAGAAATCAAACAAAGAATAATTCTAGCAAACAGTTGCTGTTTTAGGTATCATTAGACCTTTTTTTAAAACCCGTTTTTGATACAATCAGGAATTTCTTTATGTATATAAAAAAAGTATTTTGAGCACCTTTTCTGATAGTGAGTTGAACTGTCCAGTAGACGATTTTATAATAATTTGTGGTCCATTTCCAAAGAAATATTTGATATAAATCATTCCATTTTGAAGGTTTTGATATTTTGCTGACCAGGCTAAAAATGTATTTACCGAATTGTCCTACCTAATGCTCAATTATTGTTTAATAATAATTGTAGTTTCGCTTTGGGACTAAATCAATTTCAAAAATTTTACCTTACATCAAACGAATCTGTTTTTGTGTAAAAATATTTTTGATACAGAATTTTTGTAATGTAATCCATATATCTACATTGGAGAAAAAGCTTAATTCTTGATCTTAAAACTTTCCAGTTCGGGCGTAAGTTGATATAATCCATGACTGGTATTGATCGTTAGATATCACGTTGGCTACCATATTCGCTATCGTGATTATTGACAGCAGCTCTAAATAATAATGTAGTCATTTTTTCATAATATAATGGTCTTAGATTTTTCAGCCATTATGTTCTTCTACCAGGACAACTTTTGTCTTTAATCTTTCCCTAAATGATGAGATGCAACAATTCATATTTTTCTAGTTGCCTCTTTTTATTATACTGACCAGTTGTGTTGTTTGGTTCAGTTGTCAAAGGACCTCTTGATTTCTAACTCTGTGGACCCTACTTGTCTTTAGTAGATGGCTGTATACCCACATCTCAAAGGGTTTCAACAATTTGACTGGCCTCACTTGAGTCCTTGATTCCACTGTAATATAGTAGCACTGGAAACATATAGCAATTATTGCATTTTGCATTCGAATGCAAAAGTTAATAGTATTGCTGCAAAATATGTAAGCAATATCTCAAATAAAGAAACCAAACATTTAGTGGTGATGTGCAGAGTTTTCCATTAGTTTTTTCTGCTCTATGATATTGATGGTACTTTTTGTAATTAGGCTATTACGGCGGTCAACCTCAAACAGCTCCAGTCCCTGGAGGAGTACCCCAAGGCGGCTATGGTTTCCCATCTTACGGTTATGGAGGCCAACAGCAACAACCGCCACAATCTCAGGAATAATCAAGAAAGTAAGTCAAATATACTTTCGTTTGTTACAATTTTTATTTTATTACCTACATTGGAAAACAATGATCTATGGCTTATATATATTCGTATATTTGAAAAACTTTGCTATATATATTATATATTAAATTTATATTTATTACATTTTTGGAATCATACGATGTTATTTATGCATTTTAGGAATATTTATTTATTGCAAATGCATACTACTGGTTTATGTTTTGGCGATTGTTTTCTACGTAGCGTTAAAAATTTTGCTTTCCTTTTAAGCATTCTGCCCACATGGTTTTATTCACATTTAGTTAATAATTAATTGACGTTGATCGATTAATAATCTATCAACGTTCTAGAGACTTCAAGCTATATAATCGATTACCCAAACAGCGATATATATTATTTAGGTGCAGAGATTTATGTAATTCTGTAGTTAAGACCATTGCATAGTAATGGTCCTGTTATATGCCTATATTAGGGCGACATCTTTCAACTTTAAGATGCTTAAGGTGAGTACATTAGTAGTAGTAAGATGCTAAATTCCTTATATCTTAAAACAAACAGATGTGATGTTGATGTTTCGGTTTTCATTTTGTTACAAATACTATGAATTTATAATAGTAAAAATGTATTTTGATGGGTTTGATCGATATTTGATGAAAATGTATTTTATGCATTTTATACTGAAAATTCTCTTTCATAAATATAATTTATTGACAAATTGATAATACTATATTTTTCACGTGATTTATATCAATATGTATATATTTTGGGTCGGCGGTGAAAGATTTTAATCGACTTCGTTTAACGCTAGAGCAAAGTCAAATCGCTGCTTGTACATGTCTGATAAAAATCCAAATACCAAAAAGTATCAAAGCAACACATAATAAACATTTGAAGTACATCTCACCAATTGCAACGTGGCCGGAGATTGAAATTTTATCTGTTCCAAGTAGAGACTAGAGGTTAGGTTAGGTAGTCTGGAATTATCTTTGTATAATTCTGAGCAGTAATATTTCCAGATATCTGCAATGCTATCTGGTTTTTATTTTTGCATCATGGTCTTGAATTGTCTGAAGTTGTGGTAAGTGGAAAAGTTACCAGATAATTGTAAGACTTAGGAACAACATGAATTATTTTGTTGTAACAAATTAATAAAAACGGCTTTTGGCTCTTATAGAAGCTATTGTTAATATCTAAATGTACACATTGTACATAGTACATTGTACATAGAACACTTATCCGCATCATCCAAGTGGGTTACAAATATTTATTGCTTGTTTCCTTTGGCGATATAAAAGATTTTACAGCAGAATCTATATTTTTTTATTTGCAACAATTCCTTGAATATGGTACTGTTCCGCACCCATGACGATTTTTTTTTTCATATATCTAATAGTAACTTAACAAGTTTGATTATTTAAAACATTTGCGATTTACTTAAATAGAATTCTTCATTAATTGAATATGGTACTGCACTTCAATGTTTAATAAAGCTTTACAGCAGATTGAGTACCTAATAATGATAGAACTTTACCGCGCAATTTGAGGGATGTGATTTCCATCGGCCACATTACAATCGTTGAGCGAAGCCTATTTTTAATTAAAATTGTGGTTTATTTGCAATAAATATAGTAGCTAAATATAGAAATGGCACAAGAAAGTAATTTCGGAACCATATTAATCTTACAGAAACAGACATAAGATGGATGCAAGAAATGCATTGGCTTTTTGTACAAACAACCACTTCAGTAGAAAAAATGCAAAATAGACGTTAACATACTGTCAAACAACAGCGCTGTTATCAATTTCTATAGAAAAGATAAAAAATCCTCAAGACAATTCTGTTTCTCTTAAATTGATCAGCTGCCGACCCATAAATCTCAGTTCACTTGTTGAAATACTTCACTTAAGATGAATCGACACCACTGTCATGAATTTTTTATTAAATTTTATGAAAAAAAATACACTTGCGAGATGTGCCTATTAAATAGCGAGCGTTCTATACATTTGTTATACGTTTATTTTATTATCACCTTTATTATATTCCCTTCTACATATACAACTTTCCATTGCAAGCGGATCTTCCTTGATTGGAAACAGTGCTTGTAGTCTTCCTATCAGTTCTTTCATAAGGGAGTCTTAGTTATTTCACATATTAAATTGACTCAAATATTGTTCCTCATTTAATGCAGATCTCGTCTTAAGAAGCTTAGTCAGGACCATTAATTCAGAACTTACTTATTCCAACTTTTTTGTCTTTCCAATAAGTTTGCCTCATGTTCATCGGTATTCATAGTGTCTATACCAACTTGTTTGGCACCTTTCTAATTCTTTGCATTTTATTATTGAAACGTGAAAATGTTGGCATACATTCTTGTGATATTTAAAATTTGCTGTACTCATTTTTTGTTAATTTCAAATTTCAACCTTAACTGATGATAAGATCTAAACAATTTAAACCTCTTTTTGGTATTTTCATCCGTTATTGACTTGAAAATGATTAAACCACTCAAATCAATAATTAAAAATATTAAAAATAACCTTTACACGATAAACATTAATTACCATAAATTCCTTGAAACAAACAACTCATAAGTGTTAGCGAGGGGACTGTATTCGAAAGAAGGATTCCCCTCTTCTCTAATGTAATAGAGCGCACTAACTGTGCTACAGGTGTTAATGCATTAATCATTTGCACATCTGGACCGCGAATTGTAATGGAATGTCGTTCAAGTGAGATTTATCAAACCTGATATTAAATTGAAATATGTTTGACCAGCGTATCTGAGAATTATAATACCTTGCGGTTAGTAGTGGTTCACACTAAAAAGGAAAATACATGCAAGAACATCAAGCACACCTGTGAACTTAAGAGAACTCATAACATTCTACTTACTCTCTTCTAGAATGTGTGGTCGATGTTATGGAAGCTATGGATGTTATGCATGTGTAGGTTCTTTCCGTAGCGTTAATCTGGCGATTAACATTTTAGACAATTAAGAAGACTAATTATATTTTCAAAAACTAAAATTATTATATACACTGGCCTGTCCTCACATATGGGGCGGAAACATCAACGCAGAAGGAAGAAAGACTTAGGAATATTTTAGCGTAAACGATCAAGGGCAGTGGCGCAAAAAATAAATTTCTAATTAATGAACGAGATTTCGTAACGTTCATTAAAACACAGCGACTTAGATAGAGCTAAAAAGCTATCGACAGGAACACCTATAGAAAAAGAAGCAAGGGCCGACTACGAATTAGGTAGTTAGATATGAATTGAGACCGACGGGATACTAGAGATTAGAAGATGGCAGCACATTACCTGAAACTGAACAGAATGGCGGCGAGCAGGCCAGGATCCACACAGGATCGTCGCGCCAAAGATGATGATGATGATGAATTATGTTTTCAACGAATTTCATTGTCTCAACACATTTTATGTCACTTATTCTGATTATTATTTAGGGAATAAATAAATCATACTGTTTTAACAATCAGTATAATTGGCCAAATGAGAACTAGAATCAAGATTAACAAATGCATTTATAAATAAAACAATAAATAAGTTATGCTAATTACCATCAGCCATATAAATAATCAGTATACTTATAAAATGAACAGAAAAAGTAGGATCAAAATTCGCAGAATAAAAACATCTTTTGGTTAATGTCCCTATTGGAAGGGGTACATTGAAAATGAATCTAATTTTAAATATAGCATAACTGTCTTGAGGCTCTATTCAGAGACGCACCCTTCTTCTCTTCTCCTCTAGATCGTCTCACACTCGGCTTATTTAGTACTACCATCTTTCTAAGACACTGACTTATATTCAGCTCGGCGGAGTGCTATTGTTGGAGGTGCTTAATTCCACATTTCAAGAAGGAATCATTTCATAAAACGAGTAGTTCCCTTGTTTATGAAATTTCATACCTTTAAAAATAGCACACTGCTGAGCTGATATTCATGAATTTTTTAGAACGATAGTAATACTGTAACTATCCATTTGTTACATTTTAGGATTTTATTATAGAAATTTTTGATACACAATATGGATAATTATATGAATTATCTAAAACCTACCAAGAATCATAACTCGCTAAACTCTCTGTAGAATTAAGGTATATACTATCACCTCTGTAGCTATACGTATACATCTCCATTAACCTTCGCGTTGCACCACTGAACTTTCACCTGAAAGTGTCTTCATATTTACACCTGTTACATTCAGTCTCTATTGTTTTGGTGAATTCGTACTTCTTGTACAACCAAGTCGACGCCATTATTTAATAGCCACATCTCGTTTGTTTACGACAGTAGTAAAAATGGTATAAATATTGGACATATTTTGGTAAAAGTACATATTTTGGCATTAGAACATATAGCAAACGTTTAATTTTGATATATATATATATTGTGGGCAGGAAGCAAAAATGTTTCAGGTGGTGTTAGAAGCAGCGAGATATCAGATTTATATATTTACAGATTTTAGAATATGGCCGCAATTGTCTGCTAAGAACTTCCAGAGAAAACATTTCTTAGACCTTAAGAATATTTTAAAGAACATTACATCAGGTATATTTTATAATCGCAGTGTTTGTTTCCCAGAACTAGAAGTTTCACACTCACGCTATACCAGATATTCAGTAATTATTAGATATTTAAATATTTCATTATAGATTTAAGTATTTTTTTTTCTGTTCATACATTTACACATGCAGTTGACATCAATTGGAAATTTTGTTCCAATAAAACGTATGACTACAATATTTTTATTTGCTTTTTATTGGTCCCATTGTATTTTGAAAATATAATTGCTAATGCTTATTGTCGTATTAAATACTACCATGAATGTGTTTTACTTTTTATTTTTGACTGTGTTAAATATTTTTTCTTGTAAAGGTATTTTTATATAGAACGTAAGTTTAAGATTTACTAAGTGTTATTGTATGAGGTTATTCGGTAGGTAAAATGGACAATGGAGCTTGGATCTGCAAATAGGTAAGGAATGTAAGGTTTAGTCGCTGCATCACTTGGCTAAAAGTGACATTGATTATATCCATTAATTTTATAAAGATTGAAATTGTGAGTATACCAATAATTACATTGCTTCTATTAGTATATATTTCTTCCGTTCTTTATCCCTGTTAATGTTTAATACTACTTCAGTGACAAAGATTGAATAATTATTGATACAATTTGATGCTTCCATAAACAAAAATATTGTGTGTTTCAATAAACGTATGTTTTTCTCCGCCAACAACAGTTTCACGCATTTAATAAAGTATTTTTTAACAAATATGGAGTTTAAACGAAGATCTAGATCAGTGGTTCCCAACATTTTTCCCCTGATCGCCGCCTTAGACAGGTTTCACCAGTTATGAATACTAAAATCGCCCCCCCCCTCCCCATTAAAACAAATAATGAATTGATACAAAAGGTAAGTATCCATATTTATTTATTTTTTACATTTCGTGAAATGACAAATGGTTATACTTGTGTAAAAGAATTGTTAATGGCTTTCTTGGGCCTTCCTCACATATTTCTTTGTCTGGTTGTTGGTTAATGTTGGTTAATAAAAACCTCAAATCCTCAAACCCTCTTTCTATTATGTCGAGCCCATTTCTTTGTCTGTTTTTCAATATACACACAGAACTAAAACCTTTCTCCACTAGATATGTTGTGGGGAATGATAATAATAATAATAATAATTTGATTGCATTCCACAATATTAGATACACTTCTTTTATCCGCGGCCAAAATCTTTCATTCCCACACTCCCGAAACAAACCTTCAATTTCAACATCATGTTTCAAATTAATAAAGTTTTCTTGAAGAAAAGGAGGTACCGTTGAAACTTTCAAGCTGAAAGGATTGATAAACCAAGTTGGCACTTTCAGACTAGTCAAATCTTGAAATCGGGACTGCAGATCTTTTTTCAGTGTTTGAAGGTGGAGGCAGTTTTTTAGGTGCTGACATTCTGAGAGCAAAACAAAAGAGTAAGCCATTACGGCTTATTGAGAAGTCAAAGAATAAAAACACTATCTCGCAATTCTCAATAATTATATTGCCACGCATCAACGTCACTGTCCGAATTCTAACATTGTGACGCCACGTGTTCGATAAGTTAAGTGGTTATGTCCGAATTGAAAGACAGACTTAACAGTTTCACAAATAAATCACAGTATCTTTATTAAAATAACAACTCACTGAACATAATGACTGTCAGTTGTAACAAAACAACTTTATATATCACAATACAAAAATCGGGAAAGAAAGACTCTGCATTTGAAGCGACGACAACCTCGGCCGTTCGCTTTTTGGTTGAGTCAGATCGGTAGGATCGGTACCTACATCGCACAATACGAAAGCTCGATCAAAGGAAAATGCGGAATTCGTTATAATGTATAATTATAACGATAATGTATATAATTAAATTGTATTATGATTCATTGTTCTCTGTGACTAGACTAGATGTTTATATTATTATTACCTGCATTGTGTATTGTATTTTTTTTCCTCTTTTCTTATTTTTCTCAACTACCCATTTCTCGTTTTCCGGGTGCTAAACGCCCCCCATATGGCCCCCTTCGCTCTATCGCCCCCCTGGATATCTCAAATCTCTCCCCCCGGTAACAATGTATCTAGTTGAAAATGAGACTCATCTTTAATGAGTCAGAACATGCAGCCACATCTGCTAGTGCTTATCGAGAAGACACTGCCAAAGCTATTCCTAGAGAGCATTATTTAGCAGCACAAGTTAGGCAAATATGGAAACAGGCTTTATTTAATGATCACACAATATTTTTGTCCCTTTTACTTTTCGGGACATGTCACAATGAGAATATTTCAGGTAATACTTACAAAGACTAAACACATCTATGTTGCCTTCAAATGGACAATCAGTGTTACTTTTAGTTTGAAGTTTTTAGAAGACAAGCAGGTATTGTCCAGTATAAGTTAAGTTTTAGTTTCTAATGTGTACTATTAAATCGGATTAAATATTTCATTGTATATTCATTAAACATGACCTATATGATTGGTGTTTGTTGTTTTTTTCTTTTTTACAGATTCTCCTTAGTCGGTAGGGTACAATGTTCCTACCTGACGTTGGCGACCCATTTAACCTTAAACCTTCTTTCCGGTTATATTTATCGATTTTTTTTTTAAATTATAACAGTTCTATGAATTCATTTTTTGATACATATATTGATAACAATGTGGCGGTATTTTTGGGACAATTTTTAGTGTGCCATATTGACTGTATTTTTTCTATTTATTTTATATTCACAGATCTAAATATTTTCTAAAAGACTTGTTATTAATATAAGGGAATTTTAAACTTTTACATGTTTGTTTAATTGCATAATCCAATTAATGTTTGAAGAATATTGCTTTTTGAAGAACATGCCTTAATCTAGGTTAGTTTAATGATTTTCTACAATAAATTTGGGTTTTTGTGTAAGATGCCAAAAGTTATTTGCCATTATATTAGTTTCATTAAGGTGTAGACACTTTAAAATCACTGAAACAGTAAAGAAACTAGAGCAAACTTATGAACTAATCATATCTGTGAGTATGTTCACAGAAGATTCAGGTGTTAATTATCGATCATCAGGAATAGAGAAGGAAAAAATCATTGGTGAACTAGTCCAAAAACTGGAAATATGGACAAACTTCGAAGTCAGACTAAACGTAAGATAATATATGAGAGAAAGAACACTGCAAACAGAGGAAGAAGTGACAAGTGATCATTTTTCTGAGCTTTTAAAAGATAATACACTATAAAACTGACTTGAAACCTTCAAGCAACTTAAATATAAACCTACTATCCTTATGATGTTTTTTCATGATTATGTGATAACATAATAGGCAAAACTTACTCACCAAAAACATAGAACAATACAAAAAACCCTAGATACATCAAGTCTGCTTTGGACATGAAATACAATAAAATACAGTGGAGGTAAGCCTCCAAAATTCATATAACCAAAGACCGGATATAAGGAAAACAGCAAGAGGAGCAGTAAACAAGCGAGGTGGACCAATATTTAATTGAATAATGGAATGAAAACCTAAAAACAGGCGTGCCAAACTGCATAACCAAGGTGCATAATATGGAAGTTGAAACCTACAAATGATTGTTGAGCTAATGATGATGGTACAAGTGATAATTTTATAGTTATTCAGAATGCCTGTCTTCTAAAAACGTGCACACATTCAAAGCAATGTTCAAAAATATTTTCTTTAGATTTGAGGTCGACATCAAAAAAGTACTCAGAACACAATTTTTTAATATGGACAAGAAGTAAAAAAAGACAACTCAAACAACTATTCTGCCTATATCTACCCTTCATGTTAAATATACATGTATTTATATTGGTTGGAATTTTTTTAGCGCCATTTTTAGATTTTATTAATAGATACATAATTTCGATATGCTCACAATATATTAATAGATACATAATTTCGATATGTTTATAACAAACTATACAACAGGTTATATTACGATATTTAAATTTTACTAAATTCTTTTAATCGTGTTATAAACAATTATAAGTAACAAAAAATGCCGGGAACTGAAGTTTCCGGACATAAAAGTGACTGGTAAGTATTTTTCAGGAATGTTTGGAGTGGTGCTGATACATTATCTATTAGGTTGATCGGTTGATTGATCCTATAATATACAAACCATTTTTTATGATATCATAACATAGGTATTAACATGACTGAGTCATAATAAGGAAGCAAAAAGATTAGAAATATGCAATGTTTACGATTCATTAATGCTATTATCAGTTTTGAAATTGCTATTTTATCTAACAGTTTAAAATGCGTCGCAAACAAAGCAGTAGGTAGTTTTCATTGTTGTTTTATTTTGAGATTTAGCCCATGATTTGATATTTTTTGTAATCTCATGTACTCAAAATAGTCCGGGCTCAACTGTTCATCGCTTATTCGTTGACACTGAAATGTTTAAAATGGTTGAAATGTTTGCTACATGGACTGGATATTGTACGGTCACTCATTATTTTCTTCCAGGTCACCTCTTAGACCTGGCACCTCTCGGCACGATTTTACCTCTCGGCACTAGCTGAGAGGCATATTGTGCCCAAATATGCCACTTATATTTGTCTCTCTCACTTCTCTGTCTCTTGTCTGGCTACTCTTCTAAATACTTCATCTTAGTAACATGATCTGCTTACAAGAAAATACTTTCTTCCAGCATGACAGATACAATTTCATCAAATACAATTTCAATATATTCAAAGTGTTTTCGTCCTGTGTGACTTAAAATTTGAGTTCATGATCAAATCAATCAATCAATTTTTATTCGAGTTTATGTTTCCATTTGTGTCTATCTAGAGCCAAGTCAGTCAATGTATTGCAAATTGTGAGCCTCTCTCATTTCTGATCTCGTCTTTGGCTTGTTCCCAGTTCAGTTTATCTTGTTCCGTTCTAATGTGGATTTTGCTTTTTTCCTTTACTTATTTCACATTTGTAACATTCCGGATCCATTTGTTCATTATCTTTTTGGTTTCATAGGTATATCAAATGCAAGTAGACCTACTAGCAATTAAGTGTAAAATACCGAAGTGGGCATACCACATCTTGCTTTTAAAATAATTTCAATTTTGAATAGAAACATTGAAAATATTAGCCATGGATCGACTCTTTGTAAGGACAAATCAAGTATTATTGATTGGAAGATCATGAGATTTAGAATATCTTGACTCGTATTATATGTATTGCTGAATTTGCTTATTTATATATACTGCTTAAGCTTGAGCCATCTTCTTTCAAAGAATGACATTTTCTTACTTTATTGATATATAATTATATTTTATTCATTAGTTTATAGGTCATTAGTATTTGTGGTATCATTAACCTTCATAAATCCGTGGTCAAAAACTTAATTAAGTACCAAGTGGTGAGAAAGTCTACTCACATATCTCGGTTATTTTTAAATTATAGTTAAGAATATCAAAAATTAATACATTCTGATTATAAAAAAGATACATGTGGGAGAAACAATTTAAATTGATAAAAAAAAAGAATTTGACATTTTCAATAATAATTTAATTATACACTTGTAAGCTGTTATTTTTTGAATGATTTTTTGAATGATTTTATATTGATTGAATTGAATTTTATATTTTAATGTTGCATATTCGTTTCTACATTTTACTTTAACTTTATTTTTTGTTGTTGTCAATTCCTTTGTCAGTTCTGTTGTATCTTCTTCACTCTTTGTTTTATTGTAGTGATAGAAAATGTCCGGTTTGTAATCATTTTCATCTAAACTTATTTTGTGATCGTTATGTTCTGTCGATGTAAAGAATAGCTGTTGAATTTTTCTTTATTACATAGGCAACTAAGGTTTTATTTTCTTTAAAGGAAAAATTCTTGAAAATTCGGTCTTATGCCTTGTTGGAAGTAATTCTTTTGGAAATAAAAGTTTATTTTTAAGCAGTGCTCCACGCAAGGTAATGTCTTTATCTGAAAGTTTCTTGGCTTACTCAATACTGCTAACAAAAGTTAGTAGTTATTTCATATCCTGTAGATATTGATTTAAATTAGCCAAGACTCAAATTTTTAAACCGTACATTCCGGTATACCCTTCATGTAAACCAGAAAAGGAGTCTATAGTGTTCGAATGGGACTAACTGCTTATCCACGCATAAGTACCCAGATGGATTTAGAGATTTTTTGCAATTTGATACTCATGAGTTTCAAGATAAAATCATCGAGTCTTTCTTGTTTCAGAATTGTCGCATCTTGGAATAAAAAAAATCTTTTTTAATCTATTGCTAGAGATGTTGTCTAATACTAGAAGTCAACGAATTTGGATGTTTGTTCCATAACAGCTCTAAAACGGTGTGTCGAGCTTCAAAATTAATAAGCAAACCAATAAATTCTTTCAGTTTTTCTTCCTCTTTCTTTGCACAATATGAATATTTTTTTGCTTTTCTATTCGTCTATAAACTATTTTTATGTTATATTTTCTCCTTAATATTCGTATTGGAACTAGACCGCACAACTACTATTTTTAGACATATATTTTGAATTTTCAGCGCAGTTGCACCCAAGGAATAAAACTTGCTATCATTTGTTTCAAGTAATACAAATAAATCAAAACTTACATATATATTTATAAACATAAACATAGGAAAATGAGTAAAAAGATATTTTAAAAAATATCCCCAAAATTGATATCTGGGTTTATGAAGGTTAAACAACCTATTTTTTCTTTCCAGTTTATCATTATGGATAGACTGTTATTTTTCTCATTGCTATTAATATTATTTACGTAATATGTAGTATATTTATTGCCTGATAACATTTTTAAATTATATTATTTTATATTTACTCTTCTACAATTGTAACTGAATATATTCAAATGGATGTAGGAAACCATTTAGCCGCAGGCACTGACTACACAATGGACTGAAATGGTTATGTGTATGTACTAAGTAAATACAGCAAAACCGTTATTGCATGCCCCTGCTTCTGGATCGTCTAAAAATACTAGTGAAAGTAACAAAAAATTAAATATAAACTAAGAAAATACATCAGGAAACAGAAAATAATCAAAATGGGAATGATGAAGTTCAAAAGAGAGATCATCTACACATAAATGCGAAGATGATTAAACAAATTTGTAATAAACGAATGTTTAACACAAGCAAGAGATCATGTCTATAAAAAGCGAGATTTTATAAAAAAAATGGCCAAACTAAAATAACCTTAACTACCTCTTGCTCTGACAAGTAGAATGGTATAGTGTTATATTCTTTTGGTTCTCTGTTATAGTTAAGAAATAGGAAAAGAAATGAAAATTATATTGTAACACGTTGAGTGCCATATGAGTTCAACATGGACTCACACTATGGGATCGTAGTGCAATATGAACCAACTCTGGTGACACCATTTATGGCAACATTATGTTAATATCAAGAAAATTAAGATTCTTGTAATCTAAAATATGAGAGACTACTAACAATGCAGGATAAAAAACATACTGTTGTAGAATTTTCTTTAAA